TAAGAGTCACCACTTACCTTGTTACACCGCAGTAGAAGCCGTTTTGAGGTCGCAGAAAAAAGAACCCCTTTTCACTGATGCACAAAGGATAATGGCCCAAGCCGGATGCATTCTAGGAAAAGAGGTTCCCAAAATGGAGGCAATTCTTGAAAAACAAAGGTCCCAAGATGGATGCCCTCAAGAAAAAGGCAGGTCCCAAAATTGGAAACAATTTTGAAAGGAGTGCGTTCTACAGATGGACCTGAATACCGTTTTGGAATGATGGTGGTCCCATAAAATAGAACTCTCTTTGGGAGATATTTGAATGGATGCCCCTTTTGCAAAAGAACTTAAATGCCCTGAAGAACAAAGAGGTTCCTCTTGCATTGATTTTTGGAACGTGGCCAAGCAGTGGCCCTCTGAGAAAAAATAATGGTCTCAAAACAAATGACTTTACGGAAAATTAACACACCCAACTTCAATGGAAGCTGGTTCTACAAAATAATAGTCGCCAAATTGGATTTCATGAAAATCATTTGTCCTAAAACAAAAGGCAATGGTTCCAAAATGTTCCAAATGGCTGAGAAAAACAAGTTTCCAAAGTGATCAAAAATAGATCCCAGGAGTCCCAGGTCACGAAGAGAGACGGGGAAGTCTACGCTGAACATTTGAATATGTCTGGATATGTCTGGTGACCAACAAACCCTGCACGAAAATGGGATGGTGTCTATACGGTGACTCCGATTTCCATATTGTCCTTCTCAGAGTGAAAAAAGGCACTCTGGTGTCTCGGAAAATCGTGGTAAGGCTGGTACCCGAACCTCTTGTACTTCAAAAAGTTCCTGTTTGCAGCTCGCGTTGCGTTGATGGATGTTGATGGTTTGTCACAGTAAAATATGCAACACAAATATGCAGCTGCCACAGCTGCCACAGCTGCCACAGCTGGCACATAACCAACGTTTCACTGCCTGGCCACTGGCTCACTGCAGCCCATGTCCGTGCACAACCGTTCCACGGCATCCTTGTTCTGTCTGTCCCTGGCAAATGACCAATCGACTTCAACGAGCTCTGCATAGCTCTGCATAGCTCTGCAAGGATTCTGTGTGGAAACTTTGGCAATCTCTAGAATCGCTGCGTATCGCTGCCTTTCGGTCCGGTTGAAGGTGACCAAATCGCGACCTGTTGGAACAGCTGAATTTTGACAAAGGCGAAAGGGAGGCTCCAGCAATACTGCAATCCTTCGCGTGTAACATGTCTGAGCGATTTGAACAACCTTCCCTCAAGCTGGGAAGCTTTGCGCATATTTCTTTAGCCATTTAGTAGTATATAGTTTTGAACATCATATCAATGCAACTAGATACTTATGCATAAATCTTGTTTTGTAATATGTTGTATAGATTATGAATTGTGAATGCATGGATTTTATGGAAACCATGTGCACATGCCTGATGTCTATAACCAGTACAGAAGTGAATATTCCAAAAAATGAGGCACATGCAAAATGAATATAACACGTATATGTAGAACATCTTTCTAGTACCATCTGACTGATTGGAGTCAAATGACATTCTACACCAATCTGGATTCTTGAAAGTAGTTTGAAATTCGGGGACGTCCAATGCTGCCAAAATACTCATTGGCCGGAACGGGACCTGAGAACGGGGTTGTCTTAGCTGTCCGAGCTGTCCAAAACTGGTCCTATTAGTGGTTCTGTTTCCCGTCTTAATGGCACAATGAATATGGGTCGCATGAGAAGTGCCTTCATCTCCCCACTGGATCCTCGATTAAACTGTGGCGTTCCTTGACACTTCACCAAGGGCCTGTGTCAAACAACAGCATTGTTTATCTGTTTCTTGACCATCTATTACCATCTATCATGAAAAATATGAGATCTCTCTGTGGAAGTCGTTGCAGGATGCGCAAGATGTTAGGATGGTTACGGTTTGGTGTTTGATATGTGTCCCATATCTTTTCCATATGTGTCCCATGCCCCAACACGCCCAACAGGACTCCAACAGGACTCAAACACCGCTCGAGGCTTTATCTGAGGTTCTGGCCCTCTAAGGTCGGGTTTGGGATGCGAACTGGAATGGGGAGAACTGGGAGGTCTGCAACTTGGCCAACTGTGACCATTTGGGAAAACCATGGACAACATCTTGGGGTTGCAGGTGAGTCTGAGAGGGTCACTTTGCAAAGATGTTGACATGTTTGGATTCACAATTTCTTTCTGCAACTTTCCAATCCCCATGCAAAGTTCTGTGACATGTATATTGAGCAGGTAGCTTGAGCAACTGCGGCGCGAAGAGTTCTGCATTTCTGACCATGGGTTCGAATTAAAGAATGGATTACCAACCGCTTGCTCCATCCGAGTTTGTGTGAAGGGTGGTGATGTTAAGTTTAGATTGCTCCAGAAATGCTCCAGAAATGCTTCGAGCAACCTTAGCCAATCGCTTCCCCTGCTATTCAGAGAATTTTAGTGAATTCAAGACATCAATCAAAGATATTCATCAATCAAAGATAATCAAGTCGTTGATTCCGCTGTCCTGCCCACTGAGAAACTGTACCTCAATCATCTTAGGGACATTGGCAGGTGAACCTCACAAGATGCTGACATTTCTGACAGAGTGCCCTCTAGCAACATCTGGTAAGTGTATCAACCGGCAGAACTTCGAGCGAAGTATCAAAAATTCATTGAGTGACAAATTGTAGACAAAGGATATTTCTCTTGGGGAGAAATCAAAGCCGACAGCGTTGCGGTCGCCTGAATTTGGCTCCAAGTCTACCTGAGAAGCGGCGCAAATCTCCAGCTGTCGAACAGCCTCACCAGAACTCGCAGTTGCGGCACTCGCCTCTAAATCGTTCTCAACCACTGACTCCACTCCTGCCGGGTGTATCCAGTTGTATCCGCTTGTCACATGTGATTGAGCAATCTTGAGCATTTCTCATACTCCTAAAAACAGCTTCGAAAAAGCCATCTATCTCTTATTCAATCCAGTTTATCACCATATACATCCATATACAATAGCAGGACATAGCGGGGCATCTATGATGGGTATCGCAGACTTGAACACAATTGCCGCGCTAGGATTTGCACCTCGAAGTGAAGAGATTATTGAATATTATTGATGGATACTTTTCCGCGATATGACTGTAGGCAGACTGTAGGGATGTGACCCTGAACCGGTTCCGCTATTGCCGTTACGCTTGTGGCCTTCATCAACTGGTACAGGCGGTGCCTGAGTCAACAGCATTGCGCCAGCATTTCTTTGTAACGAGTTGCACTGTGTGACACCGTGTCACCAAAGAGCTTTTGTCGAACTGAAGACATTCCAGTGTACTCTCATCACTTTGAGATTTTTGAGCCTCCTCTAAGGAAGCACATCGAAGAAAATATCGCGCACCTCAATCTACTCACTGTACTGTCAATGTGGGCATGTTTTAAATGTCATACTGCTACTCGCTACTCCGAACATCTCCGAACTTGAAGTCGCAGTCATCCCCGAAGTCTCGTCCTCTTGTGTCGAATTGTGTCCGGCTGAGTAGTGGACCACTGCCGCCAGATGGTCCACTTTTCGAACCTCAAGGACGTGGTATGTCCTGTGTAGCCTCGTAGCCCAAACTGCCCTCTGCTCTGAATCAATTTTGCTGAGGAACGAACCATCCATTACAGTGCGGAACTCACATTCAAATTTGGCAGGTGCGTAATATTGCGTATCTAATCTGTTTCAATCTCAATTTCAAGAAAGAAATCAAGCAGCAACATGCTTTGTAGCATTAATATCAAAACAAATAGGCTGCAGGGCAACTGATTATTCAACAGGTTTGAATTGTGATACACAGTTGGCAATGCCCTTTTGGAACCACACACAACACAACAAAAACTGAGAGCCGTGTCTGCAATTGGATGACAAACAAATTCCAAACATCGTGGCGTACAGATCTTGAAGAAAGTGTACTGAAGCAAGCCTTGCTGTTTCTAGAACCTATTCCAAATCAAGATCAAACCAACTACATTAAACTATATTAAAACGAGTATCTTCCATTCAGGCACCTTTGCAAAACAGTAACAGCCCACTGTCGTGATGCATATGATACATATGCTTTATATTTCCACCACGAGGTGGGCTGCAGCAAATATCAGCAGACAGTCGGACAGCAATGCGTCAGTCGACTAAAATTGAGCACTGAGATTTCACTTTTAATATCTTTTAATACATCTACTTTTATATAATTTATATACTTTTATTGCTTTCCCATCTTCATTTTCTAATCGGCTGTGACAGGTTTGAGGCGTTAAAGTGGAAATGGAGAGAACATGAGGTGAAATGGAGAAAATGGTTCAGCCCATCAGAAAATGGCGTTGAATCATTTTATTGCACTTCTGGTTGATGCCTGCCGGTTCCAATAAACCAAAATTGAGGCGTATCCTTTTTTCCTCAATTTCTACTGCATTCTCTTTGCAAGAAACACCGACTTTGCTTCAAAAACATGACGCATCTAAACCCTGCCTGATCTAGACCCCCTAAAATCGCAGAAGTGAGTCTTCGTCCAATGTAACATGTACCATGTCCCCAGAAAACACCAAAGTCAAAGTTGATGCTTTGAACTGTTGCACACAGGGAATCCCGCGCTGGCGGATGATCTGGGATACCATGTGGATACCACGGTCAATAGCACTCAGGCACTCTTTTTCCACGGTCTTTCCGAGGCTTTGCTTTGGGCCGCATGATTTTTAGGTGCACACTTTGGGCGATCATCTTCCAGTGCTCCATGACTCATATGACAGTAAGATTAGACACTGAAGGGCTCCGCGTTAGTCCCGCTTTGCCTTGGAAGATTGATGCTTTGTGGCCCATTGGACAAAGATATCAAAGATCGACGTCGCAAGGTTTTTGATGACCAGCAACAATTATCGCTTGGTCATTTAGGACAAGTGACAAATGAGGGGAAGCCCTTTTTTAGATCCATCAAGATCCATCAAGATCCATCAAGTAGCAGTGGATGGCCGAGGCTTCTGTTTAGAGATCAGGAGCATCCCATCAAAGACTTGTCCTTTGAAAACCGCATTCATAAATTTAGAAGATTGTTCATGTTCCGCGAATTTCGAACACGATGATTAACTTTACGCACAGGCACAGCACAGACAAAGCTGGGTGGGACATGGTGGGGCAAAAAATGATCTGCCTTTGCCTGCAGCAAGACTTAAGCCTTTAAACATCGGAAGCGCATGGCACGAGATCATGCAAAAAAATGGAAGAGTACCGAAGCACATCTTCGCACAGGTATTGGCCAACATGACAAGCAAGGGCCCCCTCTTTGAAAGTAGAAGAAGGGAACCTTCGCGGCTAAGTCAGCGGTGAGCAAAGACATAGCGAACGACTTTGGCGGTTGCCTCTGTCCCTCACCACTTGACACCGAGGCACTTGTCAATTAAGAAAAAAAAACAGTGAAACGGAGGAAGCCCAAAGAATGGAATTTGATGAAACTATGGCGCAGCATGACACACAGTGGCACGGCAAAGCACGCCAGATTCCAGATGGACGTGCAGTGACTATCTGCTCTCTGGCTGTACTATCTTCGGCGGGAACAAAATGGAGGTGATGGAACCGGATCGGCTCCGCTTCTTTTCACCTGAGCATGGCTGAGCTCACCTCGTACCACCTCGTACCACCTCGTAACGCCGATTTTCTTACGACTTCATTTGGGCTTCCCCATTTGACAGGACCATCACTGGACTTTCATTGGACCTCCGCTTGTCTAAATGCTCTAGATATTTCAGAGCCGTCAATATGTGATACTTTATCATATTTTATCCATGGAAAAGAAGTTCCACCGTTCAACCGCCCTGTGCCTTCATTATGCTGAAGCGGAGCCAAAGGCAGGTCTGTCACTTGCTTGCACAAACGTGCGGTTTTGTTTAGCTCTTGAACAAAGCAGCGAGCATACACAACTGTATTGGCCATACCTGGGCTGGGTCTTGGCTGCCAAATCTTAACAACATGAAGCGACATAAATGACATCGGAGCTAAATGTGAAATGTGTGAAATAGAATCAATAGATCAGGCCCACTAATAAAGGCAAACTGACCGAAGATACCGAAGTGACCAAACTAACATCGAGGAGCAGTTGGCATATCCTTGCAGCACTTTGAAGAGGAGGTCGGTGGAGACCAGCAATGCCCTGCTCTCGATGAGTGCCTGGAGTTGCCCTTGGTGTCTCCAGGCTTTCACCCATAGAGCAGCTTCGGCGACATATCCTCGAGCCTCCACTGAGGTCCTCACAGATTGGATCTCGTTGGATCTCGTTGGATCGAAGGGATCGAAGATTTCAACCACATTTTGTCACGACAGATCTACGACATATCTCTTTAACATTCTTTAACATTGACTAACGTTTTCTGTAACAGTATCTGTAACATCTGTTTAGCACACCCGGGTGCGTTGGTGCTGCCAAGCGTCTGTACCATGGGAAACGCCGTTTGACTTCGTGCAGAGGCACCGCCAAAGACGCCTTGGAACCTAATGAAGTCCAAGGAGTCTTTCCGACGTCGCGTTCCCAGCGGTTCAGATTGAGACCAGAAAAAGTAGATGCCTTGACCGGCCGCTATCTGATACATTCCTTCAAGCTGCAAAACATTGCAAAACTGCAAGATACTGCAAGATTGCTTTATATTGCTTTCATTCTTTGCATGTCAAAACTTCAAAGCTACTGTTATTCAGACGCTCCAGTCGACACTGTTCGCATGTTCCAAGATGTTCTAAGTTTTGGCACCTTTTACAGCAGTCACAATTTCTCCAGAGTCGTATCTGCTGGAGCCACTTAGAATATAGTCATATACGTATAGTCTGTAGCTGTGAACAAAGACAATGGACATGGTATAGTTGGTAGAATCGATTTCCATGATATGACGGTATGTTGCAAGATTCATTTAATGATTGATTCATCCAATGTTTTCCCAAGCATTTCATTGATCAAATTGAAGACTCAAAAAGCCGTGAAACATCATGAAACCATATGAAGCCAATCCTGTGTTTCATTGATGCTTCATTGGGAGCCAATGTTTGTCAATGTTTCATGGGTCCATACGGGTCCATATGGGTCCTTCAGCTTTGCTGGTGGTGTCGAAGATCACATCTCCTGCCAAGTAGTACAACTCGTTGACGGCTTGGCTGCAGAGATTCAATTCCATGCCTGGGTCCGAGAGACCAATTTCCTTGAAGAAAGCGTGGGCGTGAAGTGTTCGACTTCGTGCCTCTTGGAAAAGCTCTCGAACCATGCCCTCAGGAAGAGTTTGGAGCAAAGACATGTGGCATTGAATTTCATTACGTCGATGTTCTCGTTCTACGTAACGCTTCATTTGTCGGGTGTAGGCATAGGAGATGGAATAAGTATGGCAATAGCGGCGTACGGCCTGGAGAATCTTTGTAGTCCGTGTCCTTTCACGGGCAACTTCTGCCATGGTATTGGTCAACACGGAAATGAAGAGGGATCCGGTCAAAAGTGCCATGCAAGTCCCAAAAATCCCCAGCCAACGTTCTGCAGCGGTGTTAAGCTCCACTGTGGATTTCAAGGCGGATGGTGGCAGCTTTGACACAGACCATTCCAAACTCCGGATGTATTGATGTGCCAGAGATGTTTCGTGCAGATTTTCTTCTCTCACCCAACCACCTTCTGTATCACCAGCAGCAAACCATAGACTTCCCAGAACATGCACCTTGCGGCGCTATGTGCGAATGATATTGGAAAATAAGTCCGTTTGGAGCTCTTTACCCTTCTGATTCCCTTGTGACTCACTCTTTAGAATTCAGCAGCAGAAAGTGTAATGATTTCGTATGATTTCGTTATTTACTCCCCAAAGTTTCACGTCGTACAGGGTACTCCTTTCTTGGTGCTATCGACTATGAACAACATTCTTTGCTCCAGCAGGCTCCCATCTCACCCCCCCTTTCAAGGCATTAATGACCGACTTCCAGGATTTGTCTTTTCAAATCTGTTCAACCTCTATCCATGATGTCCATGGTATCCATGATGTAGCATTCCCTGCCGTCAGGGCACTGCAAATGCCATGAGAAGTCCAAGGCTGATGACCTTGGAACGTGGAGTAAATATCGACCAAGCTCTCTTTTGGTCTGCTCCACATGAAAGTAAATGATATCTACTGTATGTGTTTTTCAATAAGTATACTTTTCATGTATGTAACATACGTATGTAACACATGTAATACACACGTACATGTATAATATTATATCAATAATCTGAACAATATGATACAGTGGTACAATGTGGTACATATCATCGCAAGCTTTCTATGAACTGTAAATACTGTAAGATGAATGCTGGGCTGATGACTGGCTGCGTCAACGAACCAAACCTCGCTCTCAGCGCAGTCAGCTGGTTTTGAAGGGATGGAAAGCCCTGCCAGGAACTGGTGACTCATGGTGACACATGGTGACATACAGGAATCGGCTCATCGGCTCAAAATGCAAACACAATGATTGACAGTGGCATCGAAATCGAATGACATCCATATCCAAACACCTTCGCAAGACCAGTCATTTGCCAGTAATTAGTTGTTCAATGTTGTTCATTTCAACCAAGACAACTACTTGTGGCATCTTGTGGATATCTTGTGGCATCTTGTGGCAATGTCACTCTGCCTGCAAGACCTTCCAGAGTCTGATGGTTTGGAAGACTCGCAGCAAGCGAAACAAACGCCGTGTTCTTGCTACACGCAAGACCCCAGCTTGTACATCGGTCTCCGACATAGCCAAGACCACAACGTCGCCAGCCAACATTAAGACATCATACAGACACCAGGACTTCAAGTAGTTCAGTGCAATGTCTCTCATTCGGAAACGGAGCACATCGTTGACATACACGGCGGTGAAGAAGGATGCTGGAATGTCAAGCGTCCAAAAGGCGCTTGCAACCCATTGCATGGTTTCTGCCGTTAATTGCATGGAATGGTTCATCCGGTACAAGTGCAAAGGAGAGATGGTCGTCTCGAAGATAATCGCAAATATTGCCAAGCAATCCCAAACAAGCCGCTTGTACGAGTGTGGATGGACAATGTAGCAAGGAAGATCCTCCTTCACGCTCCTCACGAGATACTGCCTGCAGCACACAGTTGGAGGAACTAGACAAAACTTTAGAATACTTTAGACATCTTTAGACCTGTAACAAATGGTGCAATAGTGGACACTTTGAAAGCGCACATGCGGTTAACATGATTTAGCAGGTTTTAGATGATTTAGGACTTCCCACGCACGTTATTGCACGTTCATCCGTGAGAGCCTCTTCACTGTGACCTGTTGCATCCCTGCCAGGCTTCCAATGGACATTCTCCGCTGCAAACGTTTCAAATCCAACAACTTCTCCTCTGGAAGGTCCCACTCTTCACGGATCTGAAGTGCAGAGTCTAAGGAGTCCTCGGCATAGCGCAGCAATAGCAATCTTAAGACAACTCCTGAAAGGAGCATGAAAAGCACATGATTCCTGATTCTCCTGGGGCTATGCCCAAAAGACCTTCTGCCAAGCATCGGCTTCAATTTGGCACTCCATATTCACAGTGGCTTCTCCTTGGTAGTTCCACTTCGGTGATCACAAAAATGTGGGCAGAGAACTCTCTCAACCGGCTTCGCATCTGCGAGCTCTTTCAAAAAGACTCAAAAGTGACAGAATATTCAAACCGATTCAACCCCCTTTCTCATTTTGTCACGCCCTTTCCACTGTCTCAGGAATCTCGTTTTATGCCCTTGAAGCCCTACAAAGAGATCTCAAATCAACATGGTGAAACATAGCTAGTGAAACATGTCAAAGACAACTCCTGAAATGAACATGAAAAGCACTTGTTTTCAAGCCAGGGCTGGAGGTACTGGCTGCACAAGCTATGGAAACACAAGGTTTTGGAATATGCAGGAACTCCCCACACTCCTTGCTGCCGAACGTCTTGCTTTTTTCATCAACTTATTGGACATCTTACTTGGATTCTGCGAAGCGCTCATGTTCGATTCTAGACTGGATCTTCCAGAAGCAGCCTTGGTTTTCTTCGAAAGCTGTTGATGTTCACTCAACTTCGCCCTGCCACTTAGCTCACTTGCTCAATTCCAGAGTGCCTCCTTGATTGAACATCTAAACTGTCCTCTACAAATCATCGCCGCCAAACCGCTACCTCCGTAGAATGCGTTTTCCGTGGCAACTGCAGGTACACTACGGAACACTGACACGATGGTACATTAGTTGGGAGGAACAAAGCAGGGCAGTTTAAGGCCGCAAACTTGAGAGCAAGCCTGGGGGAGACGAAAAACAAATACATGATGATGATGATGAGGAGGAGGACGACGACGACGACGGGCAACAATGATCTGAATGACAATGGCGATCACGATTGTGAGGAAGAGGATGATGAGAGCTAGCTACGGTTGTGATGTATACAAAGCAATGCTTCCAAAATTCAAGCCGTGCAGAAAAACAACAACACAACAACCTGTTTGAACCTCTACTTCTAAAAAAGTCGCTCTCGTGCCCTCCTCTGGTCTGAGAAGGGAATTGCGCTAAGGTACAAAGGTACAAGAAAACTCCGGTAGCTGACGCTACCTTTCGTGAGTAGCGAGACATTGCGAGACATTAGGAGAGATTACGAGATGCTGACGAGATGGATACGAGACATTTGCGCTGCAATGAGTCCTAGAAATTTCTGGAAAAAAAAACGGTGGGAATTCCAAACCAGGACACTGGAACCATGTGGGGCATGTCCACTTCACCCGGGAGGTGCAAAGATGTGTGGGAACCCGTCTTGGACTTGGTCTTGCTCAACTTTTCGGGCAGCTTCTCCTGCTTCTCCTGCTTCTCCTCAACCTGATGGCAGTTCCCGACAGTTCCCAACAGTTCCCTACGATTTCAATGCACAGTTCTACAAATCCGACCGGGAAGAATCTGGAACGGTCTGGAACACGAACAATATATAACTTATATAACAATATCGAAAAATGATGACCGGCTTGCATCAAAGATTATATCATTGGAATCCATATGGAATCCAATGAACCCACAGCCAGGATCTCTGTCAAAGGCCAGGGTGGTTTCACCTCACGGCAATCCGAGCCACCTGATTTTCATCATCTCCTTTGTCCCCAGATCCTTGAGGCAGTTTGAAATGCCTTAGGACGTGTGCTGCCAGAGGGAAAAAACATGAAAAAACATCAACTAATTCTCAAAAAGAGAGAAAATGTCACCACGTGACCACCCCCAAAAAACTGACAAAACGACAAACTTGCACAATTCACACCCACGCACTTTGGAATTAACTCGGGTAGCACAGATAGTCCCGAATGCTCCCCAACCTCTTCTTGATATGCTGCAAGGAGCTCCTTATGCAGTACCTCTTCGAGGTTTGGGCAACATGATACATGGCATTGCAGCATGTAATCTGCAGTTTCAAATAGTTTCAATGTCATGCGTCGTGCTATGCTGAGATCTGTGAGGTGCTGTGGTGTACTCGCCTCCATCTGCGTGAAGATTTGCAAAAAGGGCGATTTCGGCGACGTGAACTCCTCTCGCAGCTCGGCCCGCAGCTCTGGTGCAAAGGAGTGGGCAGAGAGCGCGGGGCTTGCATGGCCGTGGCTGCCGATGCTGGGAGGTTCCTCGTCCGGCAATGACAAAATCGTCACTGCCATCGCGCAGCTGCGCGGCTGCGCTTGCAGCGCACGCAGCGCACCCTGCGCAGCTGCACCAGTGCTGAACGAGGACTCAGAGGACTCAGAGGACTGGAGCAATGCAGCTATGTCAAAATGCAGCCAGTGAAAAAAAAACACCATGCGACACGATATGACACGACTCATGAAGCTGTGATAAGGTGCAGAAGAACACAAGTGGATCTATAGCCCTCACGGATGACTAATTGGGCAGGTGGTTTGCAAATGAGACCTTGACCTTGAATAACGCGTCCGGACATAATTTGGAGACAAGTATGGCTACCACAAAGCCTGCTGACAACATTGATCCTTAAATGACATGCACAAAATGCAAAGAATGCAACATGCTTTGCCATGAAGCACTCCACGCTTTTGAAGCGGGCGAAGGCCGAGTTTTTTACAATGAATGGATGAAGCTGAGAGCAATTCGCGAAAACAAGGAGTAAACAAGGCTTGCAGCTTGCAGCTTCAGGGAAATCCTGAGATTCTGAGATCTCAACTGATGAAAACTGTGGGGAAACCCTTCCGGTGTGCTGCCTCTATGGCACTTTGAAACTTGTGAATTGGATTCAATTGGATTCAATTGGTTCCTCCCAGCTTCTGCCAACACCTCTGTGGCCGCGAAAATTTGGAAACTGTGAAAACTTCTACATCTCAGTAGCTAAACTTGAAAGTATCGATGGCCACTTGATAGTCATCACCTGCCAAGACCAAGCACATAGAAGTTTCACCCCTCTGAGGATTTAGGCGCCTTTCAGCTGGAACCCGCCACTTTTTGAGACTTCTGAAGCTCGTTGCAAACATGTTTAATGTAATATACCCCCAGGCCAGGGGTGCTGCCCAGAGGTTTATCATGAAAAACCAACTCTTTAGGGTTTGTTTGGGGCTTGTTTAGGGTTTGTCTAGGGTTTCATTTAGGGGTTTTAGGGTATTTACCATGGTTTTAATAAGACTTTACTTTCAAGGCTTACTTGGGGTTTCATGTCAGATTTAGGTTTTAGGGTTTAGGATTTGGGGTTTAGAGTTTTGTGTGTTTGGAAACAAGTCTCGTCAGCCATTTGGTCATTCTGCCGACGTCCCAAAATGCATAAAACACTAGCCCTGCGCAGTCAAAAAGCACTTCCCTGGGCAGCACCCCGTCCTGGCTGTAATATCATTAAATATTCCTTAAATACATCCCACATTTCTTTCTTGGAACACAGAAGTGCTGCTCGAAATCCCAAAATGTGTAGTGTCAACAGTCGGGCAAAAGGAAGGTCGACCACATTGCACCGCAAAGCTGCTGGCTTCCTTTGAAATGAATCTGGAAATCCCAAAGGCCCGATCTGAGTTCCCTGACCGCGATATTCCCACCTGTCACACAAAAAGTTCAAAGATGTTCAAATGCGAAGAGCCTTGTCGATCTTGTGACTTGTGACTGGTGACTTCTATGAGATTTGCAGTGTTGAAATCTTGAGATCCTTTGGCACTGAAAAATCAAAAACTTGTTAAAATCAAAAGTGCATCGGACCACAATGGAAAAAGCAATCCTTTGTGTGAACTGGATTCAAACACAACATCCACCGATCAAGAACATTTCCGCCCACCATTGCGAACTAGTTGTCGTTTTCCTCAAAAAATATGTTCAATGAATTACTGTCGGAAAACACATTTTTGAGTTCAAACAATTCGTTGACACATTCAAAAAGCATTCATTGACAAGATTTGTCGCAAACCGTGGGACAACTGAATAGATTCCGTGAATCTGGAAAGAGGCTTCAGGGAGGGTTTGGAGTTTCTACTTTCTTAATTCCTTCCTGTCTTTCTCTCGCCTTCTGAAGAATCTTCTTTGCAATAGAAAGATTAGAAAAGCAACAAAAAAACGGCACGCACTTTTTCAGCGGCTCTCCCAACAATTCTGGTGATATCACCAACCTGTTTTCCTCGGAGGCAATCTGCAGAAGGAACTGCTTGTTTCTGGTCACTGAAATCAAGGCCTTCAACGGGAATCCCATGGCACAAAGGCACGGCATGGCCAAATAGAAACCACTTAGCCGTAGTCTTTCCTGTTGGATGTATTCCATTGTAACAGCTGGAAAATGAACCCAAATTCTTACATGGTTCGTTCTGAAATTGCACAAGTGCTACAACATCCTTTTATATTGGATCCTATCTGCACCCCTGGAATGACAGCGCCTTGCAATGCAGCTGAAACTTTTTTCTTCCGAGCTGCCTTCACAAGGAACCAGCAACTTCACGACAACGTGCACGACAACACGGCAACTCCGCTGTAACTAAGGCAACTAAAGTCTGCACTGTCTGCACTGTCTGCAGTGTCTGCAGTGTCTGCAGTGTCTGCAGTGTCTGCAGTGTCTGCAGTGTCTGCAGTGTCTGCAGTGTCTGCACTATACAGTCTTTATGCCGTCGTCACCCCTACCTAGCCAAACCTTCGTCGAACTTCCACTGGTATGCAAACCTCAAAACAAATGAGAAGCAAAAAGTGAAGGATCGCAGCAGAGCGCAGCAATGGCTCGCCTGCCTTATCATCCGTCCTATCTATCCGAACTTATGTTCCCAAGATCTCCCAAATACTGGCACTGTTTGCAAATGGAATACTGTCACTGCACAAATCATATATCGAAATGGTCGAAAGGAATCTGCAAAATGATCACCTTGTGGCCGCCCTCCAACATGGCCCACCTTGCCTAGCTTCCCCACTTTTTCAACTACTTTCCATACATTCATCATGCGTTCATCATGCATTCATCATGCGGTTTTTTCCTTGGTGATTTTCTCATCTCTTGGCCATTCCACTCCACTGTGTCGATCCGATGTCCCAAGTCATCCGTCTTGGAATTCACGGAAATGATCTCCTCGCAACGTGCGCAGCGCCGACCGATTGCCACTGTAGGATGTGTGGAGACCGTGGAGTGTGAGAAACTTCAAACTTTGGGAAACTGATGGAAACTGTATCAGTATCGTCAGATATCGTCAGTATCTGTGCTTCTTCAAACAAAGATCGTTCTGGATATGAGGCAAATCCTTGAAATTTCACAGAGCCACAACACCTAAAGTTCCTAAAGCACCAAAGAAGTGCGATCATGCAAAGATGCACGTGGACATGTTTGGATTCCAGTATGTTTCCAGTGTTTGTCATGATTGCCATGATTGTCATGTCGCTGTGAAACTAGTTGTGATTATGTTGTGATTATGTCGAAACATGTCGAAACAAAGGAGGCACAGCACTTCGACTGTTTTCGTTTCTGCCATGGCGTGCAGCGTCATATCTCCTGTGGGGCACCTGCCGGGACGATGTCCTTCAAGAGTTTCTCTGCGACCTCCAGGCACTGCCCACTGCCAAGTTTTCCCAGTGTTCCACCTGGTGCATCCGTGAACAATTCGTTCAATTCGTTCCGTCTTTTTCCAAGCGTTTTTCCAATCCAATGCTAATCCAAGCCGAGCTGATTCTTTGATCAGTTCAAGGCTAGGACGGCCAAGAGACATTTCTACGTGATTTTTGCTAGCAGTGGCAATAAACGAGCACAGATTCACAGACCAAAAACTTAGATCCATTGATCTCAAGAATGCATTCTCGAGCCCCATGCTAGTCAAAAAACACGTGATGGCAGCAAACTTCATATCTTTCAAACAATTATTCTACAAAATCCTGTTCTCCCAAAAACAAATCATAGATCCATTTAAATTTCGAGCTCAGCGCCATCAGCGCCATCAGCGCCAGCTCAATGGTGCCACGATCTTCCCACTTTGTGTCCGGATGCCACGCTTCATGCGCAGTGGAGCTGATTGCCTCGGCGGTCACGGATGGTCACGGGATACGTCCGTTGATCAAAATTGCTCAGCTTTGCATCCAGGATTTCACAGGAACTTCCACAGGAACTTCTCTGGCAGAGAATTCTCCAAAACATGGACACCACAGTTTTTTTTTTTTTATCTCTCTATTGACCACTTTTAAAAAGGGCTGCAGAACGCATCGAAATTCACTTTGCTCCACCACATGAAACTAAGGCAATCATAGGCAATCCAAGCAACACGGTCCAAATGAAAGTCTGACCTGCACGGAGAGCTAGGACAAACATGGACAAACATTAGATTGGCTGATTGGCTGATTGGCTGATTGGCTCTTTGATTTCAATAGTACATAATAGCACATATAATAACAAATTAATAACACTAGTAATACCGATCTTTGCAAAATGTGCAGACAATCCTCTCATAGCAACCTGTGGCATCTGACCGTACTATGTACCTGTGACCGGTTGTGGTGACACATCGCTTCACCTGGTGGGAAGGACGCGAGATCTCCTGGTTGCAACTCCACGGTGCTGCCGCCCTGGGACACGAGCAAAGGACTTGAGGCTGGAATAGTGAGAAGGGTATAGTACTAGTGTAGAAGGGCTAAGAAGGGCAGTAAAGCAAAGAAAGAAACGGTACAATTCGTGATGGTTTATGTTCTGCCTGTGCCTTTTGCATGGCAATGCATATGCAAACTCATAATATCTCATGTTTCTATATGTTTCTATATGTTTCAATCATCAATCTTTATCAATCTTTATCCATCTAGGGTGGCCCATGGTGACCTGCCAACAGCATGTTCAAACACGTTCCGACCAGCGCGGCCGGGCTGCGCCTCAGGTCCCACTGTAGCAGAGCCTTCCAAAACGAACACCTGAGGCATGGCCTGCGTGGCCTGTGATCTACATGATCTACACATATCTGCAATTATCTGCACGTTGCACGCTAAGCTACAGATAGTTACCGTGCACGTCTTGTTGGAGGATTTTCGCAAGATCTTGCTCGTGTGAGAACCAATTGAGTAGGAGAACAGTCGGTTCAAGAGTTGCTGAATGTTTATGAGCTATCTTTGTGAAATGGAAACCTGGGGTCTTCAAATTGCCTGGACTGGTGACTCCGAATTGGAACTGAAACATCAAGATAGGAACACACAGATATAGGACTTATCAGGACACGTTGTATTGTTTCATATTGTTTCCATCAGCGATGCCAAGCCGAGCTTCGGTTTCGGGATCCGCATAAGTGACCTGCGCTGGGAGATGAGTGGGGTGTCGAAGGAGAAACTCCGCTGAAAGCCGGCGACATCAGCAACTTTTTTCTTTCTCAAGCGGTTTTGTCATGGATTTTCATGGATTTTCATGTTATATTGCGGTATATCATGGTATGTATCAAAATGGAATCTGCCATCCTCCCCATGAAAAAGTCCCATGACATGTCCCACTTAGACATCTGCTTTTAAGGGATCCTATAGATATAAGTCGTAACATATTGATCATATTGCAACATGTTATGATATGTGATATATGTGATGACCCAGTTGCAAGCGACTTAGCTAACAGATCATCATGGAATATCCCAGTGAGCCCTGAGTTTCCTGAGCTTCCTGAGCTTCCGTACTGGCCATGTCGCAGTGAGTTCTGTGTCTGTGTCCCAGGAAGCCCAGGAAGTCGTTCCCAACTCCTCCTGAGATCGGCAGTGTGAACACATCCGAACACAATGACATGACCATGACAATACAATGGATCCAAAAAGATTTGACAAATGAGAATGACATGACCATGCGGCGCCCGCGGGATGTGTAGCCTGTATAGCTATATATAAATTATATATAGCTATAGAAATCTAAGCATATTGCGGCATAGATTCTCTGCAGGAGAACCTGTTGGCACACGTCTGTTCCTCTCCGGATTCTGTTTGGGCCCAGATCCCGTTCGTCCTGTCGAGCTTTCGAAATTTGTCTTTCCACGGTGATTGGACCTGTCACTTCGACAATGACAAGTCATGACAAGTCCATGTGTGTCCAATGCTATGAAGACACACAATGATGGCTATATGATGGCTATTGATAGCAATTGATGGCCTTTAGTACCCGGTTACCCCGGTTACCCCATCCCGCTGAAGATAGTGAAAGAATGTGAAACCAAGGCCTAGCCTACAGCCTCACCAGCAGCTCGGGCACATCTCAAGTGCCTGACGCAATGCGACAATGCGACAATGCGATGCCTGATGGCTGATTCATGTGATCCAATCCCACTCTCGAAACATTTATGGAACAAATATGAACAAAGTGTAGACCTTTGACCTTTAGATCCTTTAGGGCTTCTACTTAGGTGCACTGTACACCTATGTACACCTGGTATACAACTGGTCAAAGTCAAAGTAAATCCGGAAGTGCAGTGACAGGCAGTGACAGGCAGTGCCATGGAGTGCCACCATCGACTCGACTGAACAGGAAAGTTTGAAGCAGCTGGCTTTGCTGTGCCTCTGTGGCCAAAATAGAAAACCAGGAAGCAAGTCCTCAGCCGTGAACACAACATGACACACAGGGCCCCTCAATATCAACAGATTCAACAGGGCCCAACGATTGGCTCTACTGATTTCTACTGATTTCTACTGATCTTTCACACCTGACACGACTATCTCTGCCCGCATTTTAGTCCACATGAATATCTACCACCAAGGGGCCGCAAAGCTCACCAACAGCACCTAGGTCAGGTGCTGTGGCTTGAAACGGAGGGCATCAACCCCGTTCCTGTTGGATGATCTGAGGAAACGGCCGGAAGAATTATAAGGAAACGGCCTGGCCAATGGCCCAATGGCCCAATGGCTGAAACGAACTCATGAATGGCCAATTCAATTTTTGTGCCGGTGCAAACGTATCACCTTACCGTAAGTAACCCTAAAAATAGGTAGGAATTGGGAAGCATTTTGCAGCTTGCCTGGATAAACCATCGGAATTGAACCATTGGATATGATATGATCCGGCGACCGCTTGCTACAGCATCCCCGCACCATCTGGCACCTCTCCGCATAGTATTTGTGCTGTCAGAATGCACCCGATGGTATTCGTTGTATTTCCAGAGCTTTGCTGGAGAATGACGTTGTGAGATGTTGCAAAATGTTGCAAAATGTTGCTGTTGTAAAACTGCTCTTGCTTAACTTGTCTCCTGCTGCAATCTCATGATCTCTTTTCTTTAGTCACTTTAGTCTTGGTTTCCGAAGTTTTTCTAAAAGACTGTAGCGCATTCACTTGTCCCATGCTCTTTGCTCACGTGGAATGCAGTTTCCTTTCAGCCGGCTCACAGCTGCGGTCAGGCACTCAGCCTGAAGTTCCTTGGGAAGATTGGACTGGATGAACTTGGATGAACTTGGATCAACTTGGACAAGGGGCTACGTGCTCGATCGTCAGATATCGTCAGCATGTCATTTCATAAGTGTTCAAAGAATGCATGAAACATCAAAGAAACATCATGAAACATCATATTTATAAAACGTATCCTCAAAATGCCAGCATTTTAAAAAGCAAGGCTTCATCCGCTTGATCCGCAGATATCCCGACAATTCCACCATCCGCAGCCCACCTCCTGTGGAGAACCCACGTCGTCCAAGCTCTTTCGCTCCGTCTGGGTGATCTGCAAAGCGTTGCCGTGTCGTTTTGGTGAGCGAAAGGCCACAAGTTCGTTGCAAATTGTGCGATGAAAAAGAACGTGCCACTTTAGTCACTTTACTGTAAGGGTACTTACGAGAAGCCATGCAATGCCATGCATTTTGGGCTTTGGAAAAGTCAACTTCTGGAAAATGCAGGAACGCTTGATGTTTTATCCCATGCCACCCTCAACCCACCGTTTTTGATCTTTTGATCTTCGTACCAGCCAACTTGTTAGCCTTAAGACCAATGAACTCCAGAGGCTCAATGATGTCCCGCAGGAAGACATCATAGCCTTTGTTGGTGGACCTTGGAGTCACAGAGCTTGGCACACCAAAGGTTTGGTCCAAAAATGTCCGGTCTCAACCGGGCTACATAAGTTTAGTTTACTCTATTTTTAGTTTATTTCAGTGTAGTTGAATGATTCGCAGCTTTTTTGGTCAGAGGATGTCAGAGGTACATGGCAACATCGACTCCGTGTGGTGATGCTTCTCCAATGCTCCTCTGGCTCAAATCTCGGCATCCTGGATCTATCCCAATGATCCCAATGATCCCTTGATGATCCCTTGATGTCCGAGTTACTTCTGTGGGCCAGTGGGAAATTTGAACTCATAGCCCACGTTGGGGTCTGAGTACCTGACAAATCCCTTGACAAACTCACAAAGACAAACGCCTAGGGGTCACAAATTCATCTTGCTTCGATGGCATATCAGATTTACAATGCTTTAAATACTTTTAATACACAAATGGAAATCTTGCAACGAATCAGGTTGTGCTGATTACAATGCCTTGTGCCAACCACTACAAACCAAATACGTTCGTTGCAGCCAACGAAGTGCTGATCTTGGATCACGTCTCGTAGGCCAAGGCTGCTGATTGGGCCATGGACAAAATTCCTAGGCCTGCCGTGGTCGATGAAAGTGGCAAGATTTCAAAGAGTGGAAACTACGTAAGGAAACACTATGGGAATACTATTAGAGTACTGCAAATACTGCAGTCATGGTCTTATATGGTCTTTGTGCACTTTGTTTCTTTGAAACATGTGTCTTCATGCGTGTGAAAACCCGCGGAAAACCGTCGTTGCACTGAGAGGCATCCTGGATCCTTATTCTGCCTGAGCCAGCCAGTAGCTGCCGTCGCTGCACAATGGGCTCAGGCTGCCTGGAGATTTCTGCCGGGTGAATCGTGTTTGAAATTATGTTAGAATTTATGTTACAATCGTGTTGGTGTTCAACCTGTTCAACCATTTTCATTCATTTTTTCATTCATTTTTCATGATGTTTATTGATAATCATCTATTCCCAGCTGTTCTGATTGGCCAACGGTGCCTCGGGGACAGAAAAAGCTGCACCGCTTGCTGCAGGGCTGTCAGGCACAGTCCTTGATGCCAAACTTCTCGGAAATGTTGGAATGATGGAAGATCAAGAGAGTTGATTGGAACATGATGGGAAGATGACTGGATGATGGAATTGAGTGGTAGTGAATGCATCCGCAGTTTCTACCTGGATTTTCTGGCGTTTCGCGGCGTTTTTGATGTTTATTAGGCTTAAGTTTAGGCTTTCCAAGACAATGCAGTGAGGGTAGTACCCAACACAGCGCAGATCTGCAGCGGTCCACGGACCCGCAGTCGCCTTGGAGCGTAGTTGGAACAAGTTGGAAGGGATACCGGCCATACCCTCACCTTCAAACTTGAGCAACAGTTGACAAATTTGACCAGGATCTATGCTGCAATATGTCGTCCAAGTGCCATGGTCAAAACATGCTATATGGGGTATGGTCCTACAGGAAATCCTTATAAATCCTTGTAGTGGGTATATGAATCCCCAGAAAAATGGATTGATGACCATCACATGACCATCCAATATCCAACTTTGACCATGGCACATATGCAGTCTTTATGCATCGTGGCAGGCGCCTCTCGCTATGGCTCGCAGCCGGCATTGCCTTCCATGCTGCTATGGGAGGCTACATGAAGCTATCAGGGCTACCATCGGGGCTGGGATCGTGATACACTTAGCAACTTAGATAATCTTAGATCAACTTAGATCAACTTAGCAACATACATAATACAGAAGGAAACCCACAACGCACACAACTTAACGCACAACATACAACGATCATACAACGCACAACGGGACCACGGCTCCGTGGCTGCCTCGTCACTTCCCGAGGGCTGCAAGGGATGTTTTGAGCCAATGCTTGGAGCGATGGGATTTTGGGCTTTGGGAAGTTGCTGAGTTTTCTGGGATGTTCAGACTGTTCAGATTGCAAAGCACCAAATGGAGGTCAGCTTCAACTTGACATTGGAAGACAATTGCACTCAAATGAAAGTTTTGTCAACCCTCGGGGCTTTGCACTTTCGCTTCGCATCGCCAGAATTCCAAGAGAAACGAATTTCGGAGGTTGGGAGCCTCAAGCCTCACAGCAAGAGGCCCTTGAACTCCCACCCGTTAAAACAATTTGAAATGTAACCTGAATACATCTGAATGCGTTCTGATTTGTTATGCACATGCCAGGGTGACCGGGTGGAGGGCATCATACACAAAACATCACAAAACAGCAGGAGACTCACTAGACTTAGCGTCGAAACAGCTTTGAGTGCATCCCTTTGTCCCTTTGCCCTCGACCCTTCAGCGAAAATATGCGAAAATGGTCAAGAATGGGTCAACAATGGGTCAACCTTCGAAAGCAGTTGGACCCTCCGCAAGCCGCTGGTTTGTTTTTCCTTCTCCAGGAACATGACAAGGATTCCAATGAATATGATGATTATGATGCAGCTGTGACATCATAAACCAAACAGTGCAAAACAATGCAAATCTAAACTGATGCGGAGTCATGTAGCAACAGCTCATGCCATTCATGCCATTCATGCCATGCCACCGTCAGACTCCTCTGAGCGCCTACAAATTTGCGCTGAACTGCCATGCCATGCCAGTTGGAAGATGTGAGAAGTGCAGACAGAAAGTGCAGATTCAAACCCAGTTTTTGTTTTGGAACCATGCTCTGGGCAAAGAACGATTTTCAAAGGCGGTTCAAAGATTGCTATTCATGATTTTTTCCATTGTTTTTCTAGCGCTGAGAGACCTTTGTGAACTTTCCCGAAGTCCCGCCATCGCCTAATGGGCCTCTGTGTCTCGGGAAGTGACCTCAAAAGAGTCACCAGACTGCGGCACCCAGGGGCACCCAGTGGCACCCGGCACCTGGGAGTCCCACCAGGTTTGGTCCTCTGTGGAAGAAGCAGACTCCTCCTCTGCTCCAGTGGCGCTAGGCCTCGCTGACAGTCGAATCTTATCACATAAATGACATAAATGTCTTAAATCTTCTCTGAAGATGATTATGATATCTGAAGATATCTGAAGATATCTGAAGATGTGAAATGTGTCCTATATTCTCTTCCTTTGGTGTCTATCAACTATGAAATCTATGAACACTTGTTCGACTTGTTCAACTTGTTCTCTGGGACCATGAAGGCTTACTTTGAAAAGATTTTTGATGCAGGTGCCTTCGCAATATCCACTGGCCAGACAGATGGTCATAGGAAAACCTCAAGTCGGAGAACTCGGACATGCACTGCATATGGTCTGCATTAATCACGGTGTCTTTATGATTTACTGAGATTCACTGTATACTGATTATATCTGATTATCACTGCCTGTCAGCTATATTAGTGTATCTGATTATCTGATTATATCTGATTATATCTGATTATATATATATATATCTGATTATATCTGATTATATCTGATTATTATGCACTGTATATCAGTGTATCACTGCCTCAAGTGCGGTTTCTGGAGTCTGTTGAGCTGCCGGCTGGCTGGTGTCACCCAGATTCCTCGGCACACGACGCTCAGTCAACTTGGGCTTGTACAGTTTTAGGCCATCCCACCTTTGAGACTGAATATTGACATATATTGACTATGCAGGGTGCGGCTGTGAAAGACCCAAAGCAACATAAGCAAATAAAGAAAAGACAAGCATGACAACCATGACAACAGTACTACAACAGTAATTACTACAACCACTTAACTTCCTTTCGGATCTCTTCATTGGTATTGCAGTGGGACGGTGAATCAGGTCAAGCTGCGTCTTCTTCTCTCCCAGGACGCGGTTGGCCAACCACTGGACGCTGCGCAAGATCGGCCTCTGGCGCCGTCTGGCTTTCGTCACATTTCTGAGATCAAATTCTGCTGATTTCTGCTGTTTAGCAAATCTCTGATTCTTCATGTTTTTCTCATTCTTCAGAATTCTTCATATTCTCAGCAAATCTCTGTGACGTACAGTGATGTACAGCAGATTCTGCTCGCCTCGCAGCCCTAACCACCACCAATGCCAAGGATGGCTCATCATCCTGGCCAATCCGCATCGATCGCATCGATCCTTTGAGAAAAACATGCCACCCAAAGCTGGAAGACTCTTGAAGTCATTGCAGTCATTGCAGAATCTTACGTAGTTGAACATAGTTGAAGTTGAATCCTGCAGCTGATGTCTCTTTCACAAATCCCCACATTTTCTGGAACAACGTGACAATGTGCAGCCACCTCCCCTTCGCTCTCTTCTCGGTCAGCTTCAGGGCTAGTCACCTGGTCGAACTTTGCCCATGCCCCAATCATGCTCATGATTAGTCATGATGCAGTCGTGATAAATTGAGAGCATCATTAAAATACATAATATCTATATATATATGATTATGTATATGTTTATATCTAACAATTCTAAAAACCAATTGATAAAAACATGACTTCGGTGACTTTGGCATTCCGAGTGGCCTCCGCCTGTGCCTGGCGCCGTGCACGTTCAGCACGCGCCGCTCGTCGCCGGGCCCGGGCAGCGTCAGATTCAGACCTCACGACACGACCGGCGCTGGCACCTTTCAGCCATGTCAACTCAAGTGGAACACGTCACATGAAGTGACATTGAAAGCGACAGGTTGGTTGGAACATGTTGGAACACCATTTCAATGTTAATGTTTATAAATGTATATACAAAATTATACTAATGTATCTATGCGTATAGGCTAAATTAGGCTAGGCAATAGCTAAACATGAAATGAATCCCAAGATATCCCCGGTGTCTGGGCTGCCCAGCGAGGCCAGGTCTTCTTCTGGCGAGAACCCAATGGTCCAGGAATGGTCCAGTTCTGTCCATGGTGATCTACGAGTGATCTACGGTGATCTGTACGGAGTGTCCTATGTTGACATGCCCATATTATACGGATATACCGGATATACCGAGCAAAAGAAACTTGTAAGGAACAGAAAACAATTTTGCAAGTTGACTTAGATGACCTAGATGCAAAGTCACGGATCAATTTTTCTTGTTGGCTGGACTCGAATTCAGGTTTATGAAGCATATTGGGCTTGGCTCAAAGCACCTTAGTGGGTGATGCCACAGAGAGAGAGAGAGAGAGACAGGGTGCAGCACCACGTAGAGGATATACTTTGTCAAGAACAACATCAAGTGCAGTAGCTTCTGGCATCTTCTAGCGATAGAACACCGAGAGTTGCTTGAAGCGAATAGATTCCTGGCTTTCTCATTTTTTCTCAAGCCCCAACAGATTGAAACAGGATTGACCCAAGCTTTTTCCCCCTTCGCAGCTTCGCATCTAGAACCCAGTGATGGCAACAAGGAGCGGGTTGCGCGCAACGCGAGGGTGAGCTGAAATCGTCCACAGCGCAGCCCTGGCGCAGCGTGCGCTGTGGACGATGATGGACGTGCTATACAGAGTCCCAAAATTGAAGTGCCACCCCGAGCGGTTGCCGAGGCAGATGTAATGTGTGGCAAGAAAGCCATGCAAAGGTCAAAACGATTCAAAACGGATCCAAAAGCCAACATTAGAGCTGATTCGCACAAGGATGTAGAAATGTAGAACACAAAACAAAATTGTGAACCATGTGAACCATGTGAACCTTAAATCAACTTTGAGGCATTGCCACATCCCAAAAAAGGGCCGGAAGTTGGCAAATTCGCCAGATCCAGATCACTGGAGTCAAGGCCAGGGATGGATACACCACCCGGTTGTGCTGTACTGCCAACATGTGCTGCCCACATTCTCTTTACGCAGCTCGCAGCTTCACTTTCAACTTCAGAGCTCAGAGCATCTCAGAAGCTCAGAGCTCAGTGTCTCCCACAGTGTCTCCACTTTTCACTTTGCTGGTTACTTTGGCATTCTGGATGAGGGCAAGCATCTCATGCCCACGGTGCCCACGCCGTAGAGCTCGGCGTTGCCGCAAACTCGACTCACAGAAGCAGCATGCGTTTCGAATGGCAGCATGTGCGCAATACGCCAATGGATTTGTGTACGCGGCTCCTCGTTCTCGGAAGTAGTTGCAATCAAAACGACCTGATTGGCTCCATTCTGTGGGAAGTTCACCGTCAACACATCCAGAACTTGAGCTGGTTGAGCTGCTTGAGGTTGAGCTGGCTGTCGACTCCGTGCCGGTGGTTGTTGTTGTGGAAGCAACCGTTGTGGTCTGGGTACCCGGTGAATTCGTGATTTCCACGTCAGCACAGTTTGACCAGATTTGATCCGCCATGTAACAATCCCAGCGCCAACTCAAGACATATTCACCAACTGGCAGATTGGCTGGCACAATCACCTTGTCTTTCACCTGTCACTTGCTCAGTGCAACAGTGCAACAGTGCAACAGCTTTTTTTGAAGATGTGAACCATTCATATATATATATATTGGAATCTCAAGTTGATTCTACTATAATGATTATGATATATATTAATATATAATAATATATAATCAGATATAATAACATATAATCAGATATAATAAGATATAATAATATATAATAATATATAATAATATATAATAATAAATAATAATATATAATAATAAATAATAATATATAATAATATATAATATAATAATATATAATACTATATAATAATATATAATAATATATAATCATATTATAATAATATATAATATATAATAATATATAATAATATGTAATAATATATAATATTATATTAATAATATCTAATAATATACAATCGTATTATAATCGTATAATAATAATATAATAATATATAATATATAATCATATTATAATAATATGTAATAATATATACTAATATATAATAACATGTAATAATAAATAAACATATATCATCATATATCGTAATATAATATATATATATATGTATATTAATTGTAGATCATGTTAACAGCGATTCACTTTTCAATTCCAGTTTTCACCAGAAGCCAATTGCCCACCTGCCAATTGTTGGGATTATGCACCTTTGGCCCGGTGTCACAGAGCTGGTCCGTGCCGAAATCCTCAGTGAAGTGCTGCTTGACCTGGTCGTTGCTGAAGGACTCCACGGCATCCCAGGAACACGTGCCATCTCCGCCTGGAAAATCTGCATCTATCTGAGGTCTATCTGAGGTCTATCTGCATCTATCTGCATCTATTTCCTCTTATCTGTCTGTTTGCCCCGAAAACTGGAGAGAAGTTGGACGGCACGAGTCTTGTGCGAGTTAAGAATGGCATTTTCATGCATTTTCTATCACTTTCTTCTACAGGTCCAGCTGACATGCAGCCAGAATATGATAGTTCTGATAGTTCCTGTCTTGTTCGAGCTTTTGAATTGCAGGACACAATGGAGTGACTGAGTGACTGAACCCATGTCGTCACCTCTTAGTTCAGGGAAACAGCACATCCCTCAAAACAACTCATTAAGTGCATGAAAACAAGTCATCTCAATGTGAACAACGAGGTCTTTTTTGAATTTGGATGAAATTTCTCCGGGAATTTCTCCGGTCTCATCACATCTCATCACCCAACCTATCTGCACTATCCCAACCTCCAGTGATCTGCGTGGTGTCAGGGATGGGGATCCACCTCCATGAGGACTGTGCTGGTAAGGTCCCTTCACTACGACTGCTGGGTTTCATGGTCACCTGAGGTGAGGTGACCCATGGGGTGACCCATGGGGTGATCATGGCTACATATTTCTGATTATTGAAAGATACATGAAGCTATCTACATCTATCTACCTCTTGAATTGCTGTAAACATGAGTAATTCTTCAAGTGTCGACTCATGGAAGACCTTGAGGGTCCAGAGCATCCGATTCAGCTTTTTTTGAGTCTGCAGCCCAGAAAAAGCTTCTACAACATGACCTGGAACTTTCAGCTTTGGAACCTCCCTCTCAAGTCGAACAGGGCACATTCATGTCTCGCTGCTCTTGATATTCCAACCACTGCGAATCTGCAAACTCCAAGACATTGCTTTCGAAACAATCCCAAATGCACCTCGGTCTGAATGTCAGGAGAAACTTATGGCCAACTCTTTGCAGCATCGCTGCTAACTACAATAGGCCAATAGGACATAAACTGCCTGGGTGGTGCAGGAACAGATTCACTGGAACCCTATCCAGAGTTGAAAATGACTAGATTCCCAAACGATTCCAGACCTGGTTAATCAATTCAAACCATCGAATTGTATGATTGTCATGGATTGTGATCAATTTTGACCCGTGTACTGAGACGGTCGCCAAGACACTTCAGATACGCATCCACCTGCTCCCTAGTTGAGCTGCGAATGGGTTCACTGAGATCCTTTTGGCACTGCAGAAAATCGGTCCTTTTGCACAGCATGTAGACGTAGCCTCCTCCATGGTTCGCATACAGATTGAACGCGGTTTCCTGTTGACTTCCCAACGGCCACTGAGGTGGCGTCACCTTGGGGCCAGCCACAGGACCCATGGAGGTCTCGCCCCAGCCGTGTGCAAGCTCGACACCGGCACAGAACTGCACGCCGTGTGGGTTGTAGCAGCCACATGGATGGAAAGTTTGAGATACATCTGCCAGGTCTCGAGCATCTGCCCTCGAGCAAAATAACAAAATCAATCTCAAACAGTTTAAATCAGTCTGTTTCAATCTGTTTCCAGTTTGCTCTGTTGCGTTTCCTTAAAGTCGGATGGAACATGTACACAAAACATTGGCCCACAACCTACTCAGTACCTCCAACATGAAGTGCAAAGCACACAACACATTATCAAAACACAGTCTTTACAAAAGTCACATCTTGTCACGCTGCCATAATAAAATCATAAAAACTCATTTCAAGTCACTATTAAAAACATTTCAAGCGACTATAAAGAAAGATAAACAAATCAAACATACCAAGAATCCATGAGAAGTGGCCTGGTCGCATCCATGGTGTTACTTTGGGAGTTCCAAAGTAAGCTCGGTCCAGCCACCAGGATGCAGTGGTATAGTATGCTGAGCGATCCAAAGCATAACTACCTGCCGTGAGAAATCTGGAAATATCTGGCATTTTAGGTGAGATAGATGAGATTAAATACGGTTAAACACTGTAAGGCCAGGAAATAAGAGGTCGCTCACTTTGTTTATATGTTTCAATAATAGCCATACCATTCTACAGAAAAGAGGAGAACAACCACATCAAAACATTCGAAAACATTCGAAAACCTTCGGAATTCGCAGTTTCAGACTCATTTCGCCTGGGTAGCCATTGTTCTTGGAGTGTGGCACAGTCAGAATGCCATGACCTGCAGCATGTCCCAGGAACAGCACGAGCATCCCGTTCAACAAGGTGGCCATGGTAGCCATCGGCGACAAATCTTTGCGCCCTGCCCTTGGTGCCTTGTCTCCAAAAGCTGCCGCATGTCATGATGAAATATGACATACATCATGATCATATCTGATCTATGGCTATATATGGCTATAATTTGGCTGTAATATATAGTATAGTGTTAGTATAGTATAGTATAGCATAGCATAGTATAGTATTAGTATACTATAGTATAGTATAGTATAGTATAGTATACTATAGTACAGTAGTATAGTATTGTAAAATACAGATAACATATAATATAATATATAACATAATATAATATAACATATTAACATAATATAATATATGATCTGTATAATAATATAGATCATCACATCTAAATTATATCTACATTTATCTATATCTGTGTGGATCAATGGATGTTCCATGGATGTTCCATGTTTGATCCGTGTCCCGCTACAGGACCGTGGGCCCCGTGGGCCCCGTAGGCCCCGTGGGCACCTTCCAGCTGCAAGAGCTGAAGCACATCCTTTGCTGAAGCACGTTCGGCCACCTGTGATGCAATCCGTCATCGTTTTGCATCGAACAAATCGAACCTATGTTTGATGACATCATTGACATCATCTTGATCAGCTGTGCCTTTTTGATTCATGATCCATTTTGCTGGGTTTTGATGCAGAATGATGCAGATCAAAAAATATTTGGGGTTCAAAGTGTCAGAATATTCATAGTCTATGATGATTCATAGTATCCGAGTCATTGCACGCTGTGGCAGTTAAATAAACTGTCTTCAACGCCGTTTTGATCAGCGACCCACAATACGCGCACTTTCTGTCGCAAGTCCACTACGGGAGGCGAGGCGTTAACCGTGACCACTCGGCGAGCTTTACATACAGCTGAAGGTTTCAACAGAGACATACCGAGGGTTTTCTTGTCTGTGATAGATTTGCTGTCTCTTGGATTCTCTTGGCAATTTTGTAATGATTTACTGAAATTTACTGTTTTGTTTTGGCCTTTAGGAATCACATTTCGGATGCTTCGCAGTATTGTCTTAGAAAGATTTTAAGAGACTCTTGCAGCACTCACTTTGATTTCTGCAACGCTTGACTGCCTGGGGATGCCAGCCCCAAGATATTTACGAACAACTGAAGACATCTGAAGACTAAGAAATGAGACTCAGTTGGATCTCAGTTGGATGAAAGCTCAAGCCGACCGCGTCTGATGCGTCTGACGCGTCTGTCTCGTTATCGATGTTCATCTGCTGGCCGGATCACAGCGAAACTTGCAATCCAAGGCACAGCCGCATGAACAGCATCGGCAGCTCTACGAGAACAATCTGGTAGAATTTACGGTAAAATCATGTAGAATCAAAACATATCAAAACCACAACGATCAAAACCTATCAGAATCTCTCCCATCAACGAACTGTGAGGCTGAGCATAGGCTGAGCTGATAGCCAGAACGACATGGAGCGACTCGGAGCGACTCAAGAGACCATAAGAGCTCCTCGAGAGCCATGTGGGAAGAGATATGGAAAGATATGGGAAAGGTTCGGGGAAAGGTTGACCAAAAATGAAAAAAAAACAAACAAAATAGGAACACAACAGAAGCAATTTTTAGAGCTTTGTTCTTCTCAGCTGCTCAAACGCACTACCACAACGATTTCCAAACCTCTACTGTGGTGCAGTGGTCTGTACCAGTAGAGCTTCTGCGGCTTTGTCTCCCGCTCGCCACAGACGAACTTTGCCGACCTGGACTACGTCAATTTTTTTCAAGGTTGACCAGATCAAATTGAACAGTCGATGCAGCACATCCATGATTTGGACATAACAAACATAATACAAACATACCAGTACCATCACATAATTAATAATGACATACATAAATATAGCAAGATGTATGGGCCCAGTATCGACTTTTTGAACCCGAGGATTCTGAGCATGTTCATCTAATCAATGACTTCCCGGCCTGATCGCCTGTGACCAACTCCAGACCATCCGGGGACCAGGCCTCAGCATATCCAGGGACGATATGGGCCGATTGCATTTCGTTTTTTTTTTTGACTTCTTTTGATGGTTTTTGAATGTTTTTCATATTTTTTCATGCCTTTCAGATCCAGCCACGATACATCACGATTTTTTCGGCATGTGGCTCGATCTGCATCACGGATGTCAAATGATGAGTTTTTTCACGACAAATCGGGTTTCCCATGGTTCCCCTCTGGCAGTGAAGGGGAAGGCAAAAAAAACATCCAAACACACATGTTAAAAAAAACGCATGTTTGTTTCAAAGTTTGTTGGATTTGGGCTCCAGATGTTTCAAAGTGCTTCAAATTTTGCCAAGTAGCGACAGCCCAAACCTCATGGCGATGACCTTCGCTCTGAGTTGGGCGAATCACGCTGCGTGGCGAACTGCTTTAAGTTCTACGGCATCTGAACATGTAGAAAATGTGATGGTCCAAGGGTGCCCTTTAGACACGTTCCAGCCAAAAGCTTTGAGGTGGAGAACTTTGACAAATTTTGTAGCACCAAGACCCCACAGTTGCTATTAGTTGCTATTAGTTGCTATAGTGTTGCCAAGCTGCCATGAAGCGTTGCTTCCAATGTCCATGCTTCCATCAGGGACCTGTGCCATCCACTGCGCACTTTTGCACTGAACGTGGCAGCGCTGTGTCACGTTGCCTAAACGTTCCCTTGGACTCCGACGGATCTCGAAGCCAGATGCGGGCAGAGCCATCTTTGCTGCCAGTGAGGATCTGGCGAAGCTGGATCGGATCGGATCCCTCTGAAATCACTTTGCCTGATCCCTCTGGATCCTGTTGCACCCTGATCAAGCCCGAATCAAACAAGACCCACGAATATCACAAATAAGATAAATAAGATATCATGAGATTCAACAGTAGATGACTATGAAATGCGTCCCTTAGACTGAAAAGCTGCTTGATCGTTGTTGTATGATGTTGTATGATACTCAGTTGAACCCATGAACAAACGTAACGCACTTCCAGAATGCTCACAATATGTGCTCACATGTGCTCACTGTGCTCACAATATGTCACACTCAGCGACTGTCGACACAACGTAGAAAGCTCCTAGAGGACTAGACTCATTGACCGTCACTGAGCCTGACTTCTCGAGTTGGGACGTTTCAAGAAAGTGAGAAACACGAAATCCAAAAACGCTCTCCAGGACTGACTTTATGTGCCTATCATATTATAGTAACTATTAGTAAGTATATATTATATTATATAATATATATATAATATAATATATATATATATATAATATAATATATATATATACACAATAAATATATATATATATATATATATATTATACTATTATACGGATGATGTTCCCTTGGAGGGTCCGCTTTCAACATCTTCTTGATCCCACTGCGATGGCCGTCCCCGGCCGTCCCCGGCGCGCCCGGTGACCATCCGGAGACCAGGCAGCCACCCAAATGGGCGACCAACGCGAGATCCAATCTGAGTGCATCGTGCAGCGAATCGTGCAGCTGGATGCAGCTGGGAAAGGATTTGGAGAGGAGTTTGACATAGTCTGAAGATAGGCTGAAGATAGGCTGAAGAGATCTAAAAAGATCTGAAAAGCCTGTATGCTGCAGGGTTGATATGAATACCCCTTCGAAGGAAATCCATTGAAACCGGTTAATGATAGGCAAACTTTTTTTTTCCTGGACAATTGAGAAAGCTCCCGCCGATTTGAGGACGATAGAATTCTTACGATCTGCGCTATCGAGGACGGGGACACCTGAACTGCCCTAGACATTAGCTGCTAAATGCTTAGTTCAAACATGAACAAATCACGTCATGATAATGAACAAAAACTGAACAAAACAATTCCTCCACGATTACATTAATACAATTCCTCATCACTACTCCTTCCAATGCTGCCACGGTTGACTTTGTTCCTGGGATCTCGTGCGCATATTAGCATCAGGGTCCAAAGTGTCCAAACGCGGTGAATTCTCCGGCGAGTGCAATGCTGTGTTGGTCCTCAGCACAATCGAATCAATCGATATCTGTTGGCATGTCCCTATATTCCCTATATTCGCTATACTAATATATACTAATATCATCTCATAGCATCTCATATATGTGTAGCCTCTATGTTTGTCACCACAGAGCAGCTGGGATGCTGGGCGATTCAGTTCAACTGCATAGCCGAAGCCAACCCACCTGTCTATCCGCCTTTCCATTGCCCAGCAATCTTCTGTCAAGCCACACAACCTACCCATGTCCCACGCATTCCCTCTACCGTCCACATATCCATCCTTACTTATCTCATCTTATCTCCCTGGAGCTTTCATCATATTCAGCGGTACCAAGTGCAGTCAAAGCGCAAATTGGGCATCAATTTTTGCCCATTTGTCGCTGTAAGAGAACCCTGTCGCATTGAGAAAGTGAGCTGCAAAGCTGGACCAGTCGGAAAGGCTGCATCAGCGTGGCGCTTGGGGACATTAAAATGACAATGAAATACAATGAATGTAAGTTCCCGCTGCCTGGCAGCATACCCTTCAATTTGAGTCATGACATAGGATGTGAACACCTTCTGTCAACCTCTGGTGAACACATTCTCAGCACGGGGAGCCTGCAATTCCCAACTGCCATTGAAGGGTCGCCTCAGCAAAAGTGGATGACAATGAATTTCAAATGATGACAAATAATGACAAATATGATGACTAATGTTTGGTCATCCTATTCTTTGTCTTGAAGATGTTAGGATCTTTACATGAAGGAGTCCACATTGACATGTCATGAATGTCTTTTCTCGCATCCACAGGTCAATGAAAGTGCTATATTTTTTCGGTGTGAAAACTAAACAAAGCTGCAATCCCTGGGTCATCCTGGGTCCCGGGACCAAATGTTGGCACCATGTTGGCTGCTGGTCAGCACCTGAGCTTTGCTTCAGATGCTTATATCGGTCAATTCGTGGCATGGCGAACAATGCGAACATGTAGTCATGTCAGTCATGACTATGCAAAAATATGCAGACATTTGGGATCATTTGGGGGGTTCTTAAAATAGGGGATCCCCAAAACAAGAGGTTTCAATACTAAGTTGTGGTCATCCATGACTTGGATGATTTTGGATGATTTGGGGGTACCCCCATGGAAAACCTCCATTTGCTGAGGTGGTAGACTTCCTCGCCATCTGGCGACCATGCAATGGCGCGAACAGCCTGCCAGAAGTCGCGGCGCTCCAAAATCTGCACGTCACTTGACCCATTACTTAGCTCAAAATGCTCAAAGACATACAAAAATGATGGAAAATGATGGAAAAATGTAGCTTTTGACACCCGTATGTTTTCAAGTTCCACTGCACCTCGTTCTGGACGTGTTGTTCCGTCAAGATGTTCCAACGCTTTCGACCTCAAGAAGTCTTGAATGCCTTTGAAGATCTTTTAACATCGGTTCGAGCCCGGTATGGTGAGCTGGTGCAGCTAGCTGGTGCCCATCTGAATCTGGGCCCGCACCGCTGCCATGGAAATCGAGATCCTGGAGTTCCCAAACGCGGACGAAGCCATCACTGCCACCTGTCCTTGGGCACCCAAAGTCATCGACGTTGTGAGCGGAAAGAGATGAGTGGAACCAATAAACTTTTAAGTGTATATATATATATTATTATACACACAATATGTTCATGATGGTCTATGTCAGACTATGTTTATTTCTCTATATCCACTTAAACGGAGAGTTTTGATAAGTTTTGTAGAGTTCCATCTGCAAAATACCACTGACATGACTGACATGACTGACATGGCATACACTACCCTGTGATACCCTGTGCCTCTTATCTATACTCATCCTCATCAAATCTGTATGTCAATGTCCTGCTCGATTCGCCGAGTTAGCACTGGGCAACCCCACAAGACACGCTTTCCATCTGGTGACCATCGAGCTGAGACCACCAAATGGCTGGTTCCCTGCAAAGTCCATGACGTCAGTGGCTGGGGGAAGAAACATCATGGTCCCCGGTCCCCAATGGTTATTAATGGTACACTGTCTATGTGCAGAACATAAACAATGGTACCATGTTAGTTTCAGGATTTTGTTTTGATCAATTTTTCAGGTCCTGGACGTTGTGAAAGCTACATCTGACTGATAGCTCAATAACTTTAAGGCCATCATCTTTTTGGGGGAGTAATTGGCAGGTATTAAACTACGCTAGCCAAACATCCTGATGGCTATCACGTTCACAAACATGCTCAGCACAGAAAAGAGTAAACCACCGTTAAATTATGTTAAATTTCACACATTGTCCGCAATCACAAGGAAATGACTGGCAGAACCAGGTCCACAGTCAATGAGAAAGTCAGAACTGACCGTATTGTAGACTATCCACTCGGCAATCACACATATCACGAATAATGTATGATACTGCATTGTGCTTTTCTTTCATCTTTTCATCCCTGGTTCTTGCCCAATTGCCTCAAAGGTCGCTTCTAAGGCCCATCGATTTGGCATTGCCTGAGCAGAGGGATGCCTTTCCTTTCGTCTTTTGTGGTTTGTGGAGGTGAACATCCGATCCTTCGCGCCTCACTTGAGTGCCAAATAGCAGCAGAGTGCTTCAAGCCTCCAAGAGAGCAGCAGATTTTTGAGTTCTGACCCTAAATCCTTCCATATCTTCCATCACCTCCTAAGACGACAGCGCAATTCTTGGCATTTGCTGTGAGAGAAGCTGCACTGGTGAAAATGGTTGCCAGGAGCCTAGATATGTGGCGCCCATGCGACGTTCGTGGCCATACTCTGCACACGGCACGAAGCCACCTTCCAAGTTGAACGAAGAGCATAGATCAGGCTCTGCCAATTTTTGAGTTGCACATTGAATCGATTGAATGACATTGAGCATCTTGACTGCAGAAAACCACAGCACTGCCTTCGGCCACAGAGCAGGCTGTGAATTCTCTCCTCAGTGAGTCTAATCATTTAAAAGCCAAAAACAAAAACATTAATATGTTGATCACACACACCCACACCCACACATATGTATATATATATATTATACATATTCTGCAGGGAGAATGCCATAACATGCCATAACACATGCTTGCTTCCGAAGCATGGCCTCCACTCACTGCAAAATCTGATTCAGCTGCGGTGCATGCCAGCCAGCACACGGCCCAAAGCGCTTTCGTTGCTGCTCCACTCCACAGCCTCAGTGGACATTTTGACACCCGCCATCGACATCTGAGCGATGTCAGTTGTCAAGATCACGTCAAGATCACGTCTAAAAGGAGTTTCATGGAGAGTTTCATGGAGTTTCTAATCTCCAAGACCGTCCAAGACCGTCCAAGTTGCCAATGCCGTGTCTGGCTGCTGTAGCATGGAGTGCACTGCCCAGGGCCTCAGAGAAATGATTTTTAAATAACTGATGCCCGTGGTACCCGTCGTACCGGTGGTACCCCGCAACGGAATAGTTCACATTTGGATTCTTCTCCTCCGAATCTGGGGAATTTCAGGATCTTTCGTCAGCAACACACTTTGCCTGTCAAGACGAGTAACTATAGAGGAGTAATCTTAGATTTTGCATCACGCCAAATGCAGTGCTTCGACACCTCCCACACTCCCATGATCTCCCGAGAGCAAAGATGCTTCCCGTTTTCCAATTTTTCCACCATTTCAACATATTTCAACCAAGAGACTCCAGCAACAAACCCTGAACTGCAGGTGGTTCCAAGCTCCTGGAGACAGCATTTCAGCTGCGTTCTGTCACCAAGAAACTTTTAAGCAATTCTTTTGAGAGGCGTACAATTTACCATAATTTACCTACAATCAATATATAAATATAAATTATATAAATCAGTATTCGCATCATGGTTGTTGTATGTCATATGTTGGAAAAAGACACAGCTGTCCTGGCCAACTGGTGACCCACCCAGCTTCACCGGGCCTCCGTCGCCAGGTTTCGTTGGTGGAATTTGGGACATCGAAGGACTCCGTCTCGACAATCTCGCTCTGGTTGTCTGCTTCAGCTGCTTCAACATGAATGCGGCTGGCATTGCCAGCCAACCTAGGTCATCCCCACAAATAAAGCTCATGTCAGTGTTGGATTGCTGGACTAGACTAGACCAAAACACAAGCCAACACAGGCCAACACGGCCAACACGGCCAACACGTGGAAAAGTTAAAGACACGTGATCGAAGAGTTTCCAACTTCAGTGAGCCAAAAACATTAAAAAACGACACCACCTCTGAGAATTCCACCGCCACACGCGGCTGCCGCTGACGCTGGCGGCCAGAAGCAGCTCGCCATCTGGAGACCAAACGACGTCGCGCACGGGAGCGTGGCTTGTGGCGCCCAGCAGGGCCTCGCAAGGGATACACAATTCATCACAATTCGCAGCATCAAATGTCTGAAACAATGCGAAGCAACATTTGAAACAGCATGAAAATTGCATGAAACAGTATGAAACAACCGTAAGATTGGTGAAGTTGGGCATGGCATGGCATGGCACAACCACAGAACCACAGCGCACCCGCAAGGTCCATGGCGGATGGTTCTCCAGCGAAAAGTTGGACTCTGCAGCCTGCGCTTGGGTGACACAATATGATCAGGAAGGACGCCAAAGGATCAGGCAATTTTCCAGTCTGCATATGTCTGCATGCTCTCCCTCGGTAGCTTCCAGCTGTGTTTCATTGCAGGTCTCCTAATGGAGTGACTCTGGAAGCTTCAACTTCTTGGCACAAAATCTGGTGACGCAGTTTGAGTATGTTTGAATACTCTTCCCAGGGATTGAATGGATGGTGCCCCTTCACAGATTGAATCGCGATCAGGGGATGCATGGAACATCGTGTAGCTTATGATGTTGAGCACTGGTTACATCTGGTTACCATGTTCAAATGAATGAAACTGTCCAGCCGCATCTCATCCTGCGTAGAGTCCAATCTCACACCTGTTCAACAAACATCTCAGCTCTGCCTTCCCTCACTGAATACCTGAAAAAATGATTTAAAAAACGCACTTGCGCGCATTTTTCCCTTGGATCTTCAATGATCTTCAGATTTTCGTCTCTGGACGGGCCACCGTTCCTACCGTTCCTACCGTTCCTACCGTTCCTATGACGCACCGTTCCTATGACGCACATCGAGAATGCTCCGGCGAGAAAGGCAATTCCCACCTGCAGCAGTTGATGTGTCGTGCTTTCGATGAGTTCGGTGGTCCAATCCTACTGTTCATCGTCCAGTTGTCGCAGCAAGATCTCCAATACGCTGCGACCGCCGTCTTCGTCAAACAGCTTGGTCCACGCAGTTCTAGACAATAAACTGCTTTCCATGATATCCTCCAAAGTTTCACCAAGATCAGCCCTTTCGGGCACACCTTCTGGTAGAATTTTCTGCTCTGTATCGAGTGTGTGGGAAGTGTTGGCTATACAATCTTCCACGGCATTGAGCGCAAGGTCCCAATCCTCAATTGCATGGAAAGGTCACAAGAGTCATACTGGAAAAGGCCTGTTTCGTACTTTCAACATAGTGACATGTGATATTGATGACATGTCTGACATGTCTGACATGTTGTAAATGGCACAGAACCATCAGAAATCATCAGAAATCATCAGACCACCAGAATTGGATCGAACATGATGGAACAAAATGCACAACGTCCTGGCTTTCGATGATGTAAGCGCGGGCATTGGCCCGCCAACATCTGCAGCTTCGGTTGGAGGACGTTGTTTCGGTTGCTTCCAGCTCCTTCTCGGTCATTTGCTGTGTCTAAAGAACTGTGATTCGTCTTCATGCATTCACACACAATATCTGATCAAAAAGTAGATATGTATTGAGTTTGTATGCATATATATATGTACATGGAATTATTTGGAATTATATGGAATGATAAGGAATGTTCCAGGAGTGTCCCTCTCTATAGAGAAAGTTATATGTTATATACAGTATATGCAGTGTTATGATATGATATGATAATATGATATTATATGATATGATATGGTATGATATTATTACATTGACGTATCTATATGATATGATATGACATGATATGATATGATGATAATATCATTCCATCTCTTTTAGCATCACTCCTTGCCCCATGTGGACTGCCACTGCAACCCAAGGCTCTTTCGTCAATAGGGATTTGCTTCCGGATAACTTGCCATGGCAGGAGGTGATAGCAGCCTGTGAGTCGGCAAACCCATCCGATAGCATTTTGCCATTTTTCCACATAAAAACATCGCACATATCGCAAACAATCACAGACATATCACAGTTTCAAAGTCTTCCTCCAGTTTTGGCGAAGACAACTTTGCATAACTTTGCAAACTCAAAAACGAGTCACCGGTGGCAGGGCATTCTCTTGGAGAAGCTTAACGAGTTGCGGCTGACTTGACGCCGCTTGTACTTGGCCGGTGAATCCATCTTCCATGCCGAGTACAAGCCTTGATCTGACACACATTCGGAGTTCTTGGACACTACACTCAACTACACCCAAGTGCGCACACCTCTGTCAAATGACATGCTTCTATTTCCTTCCCTAGTGATTAGCTTTCCACCTACCTGCGTTGCGTATTTAAATGTATTTAAACGACTGGTGCAGCATCGTCTTCCACAAAGACAATCAAACCATATTCACCCCCCCCACACGCAACACATGTCTTTTGAACCTTAACGACTGAAACCATTACACTTGGGGTGCTTTTCAGATTAAGTGTCAGATTGTCAGTTTCAACATGTTTCAACGAGCCAGGCCACGCATGAAAATTTCCTCGATGCTTGAAGCAAGTTGAGTCCAGATTGGGCTGTACACTTTTCCCAAGCTTCCCATGCTTTCTCTCGGGTTGCGATGCGTTTCTTTGGAGATCTGGAAAAACGGCGAAGGTATGCTGGACCTCGGTAGATTTCAAAACACAACCCACGATGCACTGAAGTGAAGTTAAAAAACACATCGTCATCAAAAACGGCAAAATCTTCGCTTGCTTTCAGGGCACATTTTGAAGAGTAAACTGAGTAAACGATTCCAGGTGTGTAGAGTACTGCCTGAGCAGAATAGCGCAGAGTAACATGAAGTGTTCAATGTGGCTCAACCTGCGTTTCAACCCTTCATAACCTTTCATAACCCTTCAACACTGGCACTGGGAATACCCAAAGATACCCAAAGTGTGTCGCATCCCCGGCCTGCTCTGCACCTGTATCAAGAGGAGAGGAGAGGCCAGTATCAGCAACATCGAGAGCCTCAACCGTCAGAGCTTTGGCAGAAGTGACATGTTTGGACAATTCTCTGCGGATCTTTGGATTGGTTGCCCCGGCACTGGCGTTTCACTGTTCGTCCAAAGAGTGCGTGTCAAACATCAAACTGATCCATACAGATCCATACAAACAAGATCAAACAAGCAATCCATATCAATCCATTCTCAAAAACAACGACCGTAAATCTTTGCCAAACCAAGAAACAGCATCAGGGACGGTATTGAAACACGTGCCAGCAAAGACGCAACGGCTGCGACATTAAAAGTTCTGGGCTTTGCAGCAAATGGAGTGCTGGCTGATATTTGATATTTGATGTTTCCTTTGTTGTGCATCACGTGATGGCATGTGATATGGATATCATGATATTATGATATAGTATGATATATTATTATGATATATTAATGATCTGGAACAGCTATAGTCTTTGACTTTGTCTGATTTTGGCACCCGCCTATGCAAAAAGCATGGGAACTCTGGCTGTGGCCGTGCTTGTCTACCAACTGCAGTCGATGGTGGTCTTGGTTGACCCGGAGGGCCATGCATCACATGTTCATCATATGTTCATCATATGTTCATCATATGCTCATCACACTTTCATCACATGTTATTGATCTTCTTTCAGATAATTGCCCCAAACTGTATTTTCAGGTTTCAGCTGGGGTAATTTACTTATCCCAAATAGACTGATAAACCTATGGGGCAAAACTAGTAACCGTTAAGCTAGCGACTAAGCAGCACCTTTTTTGTCTGAGCCGCAATGCTACCAAGTACATGCTATATTACAGTGTGTTTTATGTGAGGTGATTTTACACCCCCCTCAGGTGAGCCGGTTACGGCGAGGATGCCGCATTTACCAGGGCGAGGTCTTTAAGACCTGCCTCACCGAACCTGCTCTTTGCAAACCCAAGGGAAAACACACTCGGCGGCTATGATACAAAAACCGATCGTCAATGCAAGTAGTGTCACAACTTATCCCTCTTCCCACTCAACTCGGCCATGCCTGATGACTTTCTCATACCAGCGTCCATGCCACTTCTGCCATTCTCCAGTGTAACGGCGATCATCGTGGGACTGACTTTGCTGAGGGCGGTTGATCCACTGACTTGCAGACGTTGATGATGAAGCTACCTCTACGGTGGATGGTCGGGCAACCGGTTTGGCGGTGCCTTTCTTGGAGGGACCCTGGCCGTACGCACCAGTCTGCTCAGCTTTGCGCTTGGCCTCGTTCTGTTCGCGGGCCCTGTCAGACTGTTTCTTCTTCTCTGCTGCGTTCTGCTTGTACAGCTCCTCATTTTGTCCCTTAATCCACCTCAAATGACGTTCGGCATCATGAACAGCAATGTTGTCAACACCAGTGCAAGATAACAAAAGATTGTGTCCAGGATTCCGGCCGAGGTAGTCAATGTACTCTTCTTCGGAGTAGATTTCGGTTCGGTACATGTAGAACCATGGTTGGTCAATGTACCTGAATGATTTCGGGACATCAAGACGGCTTGCCAAATCCAAGTAAACCAGCCTCATCGCGTTGTGCTCGAGCTGAGATTGCTCAGAAACACCCATCTTGACCTGAGCTTTGGTGCGACCCGGCTTTGGCAAATGTGCAGACTTGAGGAGGTCGTACCGTTCACAGTCGTACTCGTTCTCCCCCTCGTTCAGCACGCTCTCTGCGAATGTGGCGTCCTGGGCAAACCTGTCAGCCACAGACACATAGCCTAAGCTCAAGGCACGGTCAAATCGACTCTTCGCCCTTGCCAACAAACTGGCTTCCGGACTTGAGCTTCCCCTTGCCTGGTCGTCCAACAAACCCAAAGATTCAAGCTAATCATGTGTGATGCTCTGCAGGTACTCACCACGAAAATCATAGTACAAGCCCAGCTTGTGAAGGGCGGCCTTCCTTCGTTCTGCAATCTTGGTTCGGTCAGCCTTGTTCACCCCTTCGAGCATCAATCCACACACATCGCATTCAATCCGTCCCTTGAAAGTCTGTGCAAAACATCTTGAACATTGCGTGACTTCAATCTTGACCGGCACCGGCTTCTTGTCCTCCTTCTTCACCTCTTTCTTCGAAGGTTGGTCATCGCCTTTAGGGCGAGACTTCTGCTTTGGCACCAGTGACTTTGATGTTGATGCTGGCGTCTTTTTGGGTGACTCTGCAACTGGAGCTTTTGGATCTTTCTGCACTGCCTTTGGCGGTGCAACTTTTGGAACAGGCTCCAAGAAGGCCGCAGCTGATGATGCCGCAGGCACAGCTGCGGGCACGCTTGTCAGGGCTGCCTTCTTCTTTGCAGGTTCATCCTTTGCTGCTGCATCAACTTCTGAGGTCACAGCTTTTGGAACTTCTGGTGCATGAGGTGCAGAAGTCCCTTCCTTCGGTGATGGTTTTGGAGGCGCCTTTGGCGGTGTCTTTGGGCCTTCAACCTTTGCTGCAGGAGGCTTTGGAGCTTCACCCTTCGGAGGAGGGGGCAACAATCTGCTGCTTGCATATCCAGGCATACCGGCAAGTTGGGCCACATTTGGTGGCGGAGGCTTCACCTTTCCTGGGAAAAATGCTGTTGCAGTGGGCGCGCCAGTTGAGGCGGCCGGAGACTTGGAACCAGTCCGTTTTGATGCCTTGGCCTCGAAGGTCTCGACAAGCTCCTGGACTCCAACTTCTCCCCCACTGCTTGCTGCAGATTGTGCGACCTCCTGATGGCGGCGATACAAATTCACCTTCTTGGCAGTGTCATCGACAGAGATAATGTATTGAGGTGGTACGACGTCGCTTGTCAAGATGCCGTCAGAAGCCGTCCTGAAAAACACAATGCCAGCTTTGACAGCTTCAGCCATTGCTACCCTGATTTCAATGGGTCTTTCAGCACGCAAACCACTCACATACTCTTTCTCATCGACACGCACTTCGCTAAAATAGGAGTGTGCTCTGCCTGATGAATTTCGATCTCCTCCTCCAGGAACGAAGCCATTCTCAATGATGCCCTTCCAATTGCCTTTTGTAGTCCTGTGATAAACTACGCCAGGGCACATCTGAGGAGTGGTAATCTTTTTACCTTTGGCGTTCATTTTCTGGATCGCTGCTGCTCCAGACAGAGCATAGATTTCCACAGCATTGAACGTGTCCTCAGCCGAAGCGGCATCCATGGCGCGCTTCGTGTGCCCCTGCACTGCGCGGATTCTGATGGGCCAGTAGGCTAACCCTTTACGGGTTGCCTTCTGGTACCCGGCAATGCACTGGAACTCAAAACGGCACTTGTTGTCCCAGTAGAGCAATGAAATGAGCTCTTCAACTGTCATTCGGGGCAACTTGGCTGGCAGCATTTGGTTGAACATTCGAAAGAAGTCATCAAGGTCAAGCCACATGTTTTCATCAAATCCAGAGGTGTCCTGACCCGGCTGTCCACGCGTCACTGCATTGACCTTGGTCTTGTGTCGGTCCATGCGATCTGGGTACCTCAGCTCCTTTGCCCCATCCATCTCCCAACAGGTTTTGACAATCAATTCGTAGGGATGGGCATCAACGACACAATGTTCAACTACTTCTGCATTGATGTTTTCGTCCAAAGTGATACGATATTTGTCAAGGTGCCCAAGTGCATGTTTCGGAATGATGGTACCCTTGATCTCGTTTTCCTGCAGGGGCTCACCAGTTGAGGTGGCCTGAGTTGAATCCTCCTGTGTCGCTGGAGCTTTTGCCTTGGGGTCAGGCGGAGCTGCGTGGCTGGCCTTGGCCTTGCCAACCGATGGTCCCTCGTGCTCATCGGGATCCAGAGCGTCCCATGGGTCGCCTTCTTCATCATCATCTTCAGCGACACCAGCATCGGTCGGGCGAGCTCTCAACTCCTCTGCTGTGAAGCTTTCTGGGGTCGAGACGCTCGGTGCAGGCCTGTTCACCTTTTCCCGGAGAGAATTGAGAACCTGCACAAACCTGACTGGGAGGTGCTCCATCTTCGGTGTGACATCACGCATTGTAGCTTCACCTGCAGGGCGCCTGCGCTTGTACAAAGACAGGTTGTACTGAGGGATCAAAATGTCCGTCATGTGCAACATGTGGAGAGTTGCCATGACATATCCGATCATTTCACTTCGGTTGAGCTCGGTCTCGAACGCGTGAAAGTAGTCCCTGAGCTCAAGCCTCGGTGGGAGCATGTCATTCTTGATCCACCGAATCCGATCGTTGTCACTGGCAATCTCCTTGTGGAACCATTCCTTCAGACGATCAATAAACGTCGTGAAGATGAGACTCAATCCATAAGTGAGCGGGTCGGGCTCGCCGATTAGGGCGGCCTGATCCACTCCCAACTCCTTGAGCTGATTGTTCCACCAAACGATGTTGCCTTTGACCCTGTCCATGATGGCATTCCAGTCGCCCTGTGGTTCCCTCTGCCCCCAAATGGGAAGGGGTTCAACACCATATTCCCCACAAATTTCATTCCCAGACCAAACGATTACCGAAATAACCCTGATGGCTGATCCATGAGAAGAATATTTCGCCATCAGCTCCTTGATCATGGAAACATTTGCTTTGCAGAGCTGTTGCAAATCCTTACCCCAGAGCATGTCATGACCGATTTCGAGAACCATGTCTGCCTTTCGCAATCCCAGATCCTCCTTCAAGGTGTACTTCTTCAAAGTCTTACCCTTTCCAGTGATCAGAGCCAAAGTTGAATCAGAAGTCACCACATAGATGGTGGGCACGACGTCTACCGCCGGCCTTGATGTCCCAGGGACGTACTCAGTAGGCAAGCTCAGATCCCACAGTGAGTCATGTTCCAACTCGGACAGATGGCGGATCTCCTTTGCCCACGGCACATTCGTCAGGGCGTCAGTTGACATGGACTGCGCAGTAAAACACTGCATGAATCCTGCGGCCAACTCAAGGTCTTCTGTTCTGTTGCCCTGTGCCAGGATGGTTGACGAAGCGAGGACCGTGGAAAAGATGTCCTCCCACCCTGCGTGCCTATCCCCCTGAACATCAAGGCACTTCCGACAAG